TTTTCATTTCCAATACATGCTTCTTGTTTGCTTTTTCACTTCATTATACGTTTTTAATGTATACAAATTTATGTAAAGTCTTTAATTAAGAAATACGGAAGTGTAAAAAAGAAATGACGTAAATAATTTACTCATTCCATATAATTCACAAAAGATTTTATAATTTGATGAAAAAATTATTACATCGTTTTTATTGGAGCTATTTTTATGAATCAAAATAGATTTGCTACATCGTGGAAATTCATTATAGAAATTGAATAGAATTAATTTTTTGACAGTTGTAAAAAAATACATTGCATAAAAAAATTTGTTTAAATTTTTTTATGTTGCTGATAAGTTAAAAAAAGAAGTTGTAGGTTTGTGTATCTTTACATATATTTTTTATTTCCATATATAAATTCTGTATTATACCGGCACTCCATACACGCGATGACCAGTTATGTCGTTGGCGTGGCGCGCATCGGACAGGTAGAACGAACGGACGGGTCATTAAGCGAGCCAATAACAAACTCGTGATCCACATAACCCTTCGTTACGTCCGCGGGTGCTATTAGCCTGTGCAAGGCAGCAATCATTGCCGGCGGGTAGGACTCGTTTTATAACACGTCGAGGCAGGTCCCAATCGCGTCGTGCGAACTCATTATTTTCATTTCTTTCCCTTCCTTCGTCCATCCTCCTTTCGCTTCTCACTGTTCGTTCGCAATGCAGACCTCTCCCAGGTTTCTTTTTGCTTCATCACAGACCTTATGTAATGTCTCAGTTGCGTGCTTCCCCGCGTGCAGCTTGTTGCGCCGATCATTCGACCGTGTGCACACCTGTGCGCGATAGCACGCGACGAGCCCTTTCGTCTTTGGAAGCAACGTGAGGTGCAATGCGAATTATCGCGTTGAAACGAATCGAGAATTTTGCAAGTCAGATTTCATAATCAGATGCAAACGTTAAACTCGGATTTTAAAAATCCGTGAAACATCGTCCGTATTGAATGTGTCAAGTATTGATATCACGCCTCAAAAATGAATTAAGTTCCTGAACAAAAATTTTTCTCATACTTTTCAATAAAAATATACGGATACAATAATTTTGCTGAAGTATTAAAAAATTTAGAGCACAAGCAGCTTGAATGTCCAACATAATTATTTCGATGAATCAACAAATTCATTTTTAGATCTATAGCTTTTAGATTTCGGCAAAATCCTCCTTTTTATATACTGAACGCATATATTGAATAAATTAAATTATTGAATAAATTCACTTGCAGGTACAATATCTTTTGAAATATTTGATAAATTCTTGCTAATATCAAAATATGCATAAGAATAAATGTATCATGCATATACTTATGATAAAATATATGATCGAGCAGATTAGAAGTGGTTCACGTGGTATTTCAGTCAGTGATAATAGAAAGATCTGTTTCTATAATTAAAAGCACCGATGAGAGATTCTTCGTTCATTTCCTCCCCACATGCCTTTACTCTGACATCAATATTGGCGCGTGCATTCATCGGCATCGCGAAGATTTATGATCGTTCCGTATTGCTTATGCCCGGTGGGTTTATTAGCATGATTGGTTGCTTCGAGGATAGATCGCGTTGCGCACGCAACCGGATCTCGGTCCTTCGGTTACGAGGAGTTCGATCTTCTCGATACAACCGGTGGCTCACTACGAACTCGAAAGAAGTCATTCCTCCGACGTCACGTAGTTACCGGGACTTCGTCAGGAGGAACGACATTATTTGTAATTTGTTACGTGGATCGCCTCGTTACGACCGGCTCTAAATCCTTACGATCTTCCCGTCACTGCCCACGGCAACGAGGATCTACCCTCTCGCTAAGTACTCGAGCCTTTGAGCGTAATCCAAACCTCGGCTTTAATGAATTTTCTGATTTAATAAGAAGTCGCGTGAACTGCGATTGGCGACGGGAGAAAAATTGTTCGCTAAATCATACACGTAAATTATTCGAAATACACTCGTTACCGTGCTTTACACGTAATCATCTCAATAATGGCCTCGTTAAGTATTTGCATCAAAATTTTTTGCAATTCAGTATTTATTGAATCATAAAAAAACGTTGTTAAACTATTATTAGTATTTTAATATATGAATTTACTGTCAATAATATATACGAATTACTCAATAAAGTATTTACAGAACTATAGCATTGTATTTTAAATTAATCCTGAATATATACATTGATTGATTCTTCATTATACATGTTTGTGTCCCAGGTTAATTTTTATAAGTTTTATAAGTATATAAAAATTATTTAGTAATTCTTGTACATGCTTTAATATCTTTAGAAAGTATTAATAAAGTTATATGTTAAAAAAAGAAGGAGTTAGAGATCACTGTTTAGCCAAATATTCTAATATTTAAATAAAAAAATTTGTAGGATATAAATAATTCAACCGCATGTGTATCAAGTTAAAACTTAACATATTTATGATATTAAAAGCAAATTTTTCGAAAAATATCACTTTTATTTGGTAGAAAAAAAGAATCATTTTCTCCAAAATTGAACCTAAAATATAAATACACAACAAAGTTCTTCGACCCACAGTCGTTTAATATTCCAAAATTCTAACAATCAGGAATGTCTACGTATTCGCATACGGATGTATAGTATATATCTACAGGATAGCGGCTCAGCATCTCTCTCGATCATTTCTCCCGAAGTGCCTCTCCTGCATTCGCCTTCTCTCTAATAACAATAATAATAAGAAGAGACGGAGGGCCGTTTTAATCAGAGGGTTCGTCCGCCTGACGTGATTAACTTGAAGGGTCGAGGAGGAATGAGGTGAGGAAAGGGGTAAGGAAAAGGGCGGATGCCACTGTCATTTTGGGTGTTTATCATATCAGCGAACTTAAGGGGGTTGCGTTTCGTCGCCCCGACCGACGCGCCGGATGAGGTTAAATCTTGGATTTCACGTGTGACTTGCACTTTCGTTCGCTATTTCCTTCGCTTTTTCGCTGGCCGGCACTTTTACTTTATTTCTTTTTTGTGTGCGTGTGTTTAATTTGTTTCAATAATTTGTAAGCATGGAAATCTTTTCTTTTTATCTTCATTTTGGACATATGAGAATAATGCAAGTGTTATGTAATATTAATTAAATCAAACTTTTTGACAAATAGAAATAGCTAAGGAAAAGATTTTTCATGGTTAAAAGACTTTTAATACAATATTTAAAGACTCATAAAGAGTCATTAAAAAAAATAAAGCAACTCGAGAGTACAAAACTCACGCTTTTCAGGAAACTAAGTATACATATATATA